GAGCAGGGAGCCCGATGTAGGGCTCCATCCCAGGACCCTGGGATCATGACCTGAGCCGAAGGCAGATGCTTAACGACTGAGCCACCCAGGCACCCCAAGATTTTATTTATTTTTAGAGAGGGAGAGCACAAGCATGGGGAGGGGCAGAGGGAGAGAGAGTTTCAAGGACACTCCCTGCTGGGCGCAGAGTCCGATGTGGGGCTCAACCCCACATTCCTGCGAACGTGACCTGAGCTGAAACCAAGAGTCAGATGCTTAACCAACTGAGCCACCCAGGCATCCACCCCCAGCCCCTGCCTTTTAAATTAAGGGCTGACATGAATACTCTATGTATTGTTTGTATTTTATTTAATTAAGTAATTTATTTGTTAAACAACAGAAATTTATTTCTCATAGTTCCAGAGGCTGGGTGCATTTTATTTTTAAATTTAAAGTGTATCAGTACACAAAGCAACCTCAATCTTTGGTACGGCTAGATAGAATTCCATTGTACTGTGTTAGAATGCCAGACCCCATAGATCGACCTTTAGATTTTTTTTCAGTTGTTTGCTATTACAGAAAAGTGTTACAAAGAAAAACTGTACATACATCATTTTGCACCTTTGCAAGTACATCTGAGAAATAGATTCCTAGAAGTAGAATCACAAGAACAGATGGTTTGTGCATTTTAAATTGTCATAGATCTCGCCAAATCACCCTCCATAGGGGTTGTTCCAATTTACCCTCCCACCAGCAGTGTATCCTGGCAACACCTGAATCAGTTTGGGCCAAACTGCCCCCTCTGTCTTTTTCTGGGTGTCATGCTGTGGGCCTAGAAAGCCTGCCTCTTTGGGCCTAGTTACCCTCTGCTGTGTGTGGGACTACACCAGCGTAGAAGTTGCCAGAATCCAGCCAGTCGATAGTGAAGTGTTCACAGAGTATCAGCTACAAATTCAGCAGCAGTCCTAGGCCCTGAGGCTGCAGTTCCGGCTGTGGGAGGTGTAAGACATTCAGAGGAAGAATCTGACCACAGAAGAGAGGCAGCTACATTTTAAGTTGTAAGGGTAACATACTCTGAGTGCTGCGCACCTAGTTCCAGGAAGAAGTCATCACGTGGTGAGCATCACCAGGAAGCGTGCGGCTGGGACGGAGAGTTAGAATCTGAGTTGGGAAGGGGGTGGCTGTGAGGTTGCCGAGGTGAGAAGCAGAGTCAGCTACTCCATGCCAGCTGTGGATGAACCAAAGAGAGGAGTTACAGTTTGATGTCACAGGAGGTAGGGAACTGCTGGCGGGTCTGAGCAAACAGAAAGAGCGACCTTGTTTGTTTCTCAAACCTCAGTGAGTTCTGAGTAGCCCTCTCATTGCTCTGTGAGAAGGAGCCTGTCTGGGCCTCGGTTTCCCAAGTGAAACGGGGATGTGGCTACAAGTCACTTCTCACGAGGCTCTTCCAGCCACAGCGGACCCAGTCTGGGGTGAGCTTGGGGAAGAGCTGGGGTGGTTCCGGGAGCAAATTGCTGTGGTGACAACTTGGGAGCAAGAAATGGGCCTTCCCCCTTCCCATGAGTTGCTGTTGATTTTCTGATGAAGTGTGGTCTTTATGAACTAATCCCACCTTCTCCCCATGCGCGCCTCCACAGACTAGCTTCCTTTTATGAAATCGCAATTCCTGAACTGGAGTCTGCAATGAAGAAGAGGAGGCTTGAAGATAGCAAGTGAGCAGGGGACAAAACTAAGTGCCTTGTCATGGGGGAGGGAGAGGCCCTGCCTTCCCCGGGCTTCAGCGTCCCCATCTCTTAAGAACGAGGTGGTGGCCCCATGGAGTGTCCCTGCCTAGCAGCCTCCCGGCCCCTGCATCCTAGCCTTTACCCCTCAGCTGTTGCTGCAAGCTCTTGTTAATCCGCTCGCCGGTTTCCCACCCACTGTTCTGTTTTTTGGGTTTTTTTAAGATTGTATTATTATTTATTTATTTGACAGAGAGGGACACAGCGAGAGAGGGAACACAAGCAGGGGGAGTGGGAGAGGGAGAAGCAGGCTTTCCGCTGAGCAGGGAGCCCAACGTGGGGCTCAATCCCAGGACCCTGGGATCATGACCCAAGCCGAAGGCAGACGCCCAACAACTGATCCACCCAGGCGCACCTCACACCCACTGTTTAAACAAGAAGCGGCCCTGGAATCAGCTAGCCTCTCAGGGCCTGTAGCCTTTTTGCCAACTGCTATATCCGCAGTGAATTGTGACGCTTTCTCAGCCCTGGGGAGGGGCACCTGCAACTGTTGAGAATAAGCTCCCTCTGGGCCTTTTTATCTCCTAAATCTTGTTTTTTTTCCTCTCTCTCTCTGGCCTTCAAAGGCTGCTAGGTGACCTGTGGCAGAGGCTGTCTCATTCCAGGAAGAAGCTACTGGAGATTTTTCACATCCTCATAAACCAGATCTGCCTTCTCCCTGTCCTGGAAAGCAGGTGAGCCCTTGGGAGCAGCTGCCTGGGTGGAAGAACCCCTTCCCCAAGACCAGCAGAGGCGTTCCCCTCACTTCATCTGCCCCCTTCCCTGTTGAGCAGAGATGGGAAAAAGAGACACATGCCTCTTTCCTGTAACTGGCCTGAGGCCTTGTAGAGGAGCAGGCCGGGGGAGGCAGGGTGGGGAGCTACAGATCATTTGCATCGAGTGAGCTCATCTTCCCTGGTGTCCTGTTCCAGCTGTGACAACATTCAGGGCTTCATTGAAGAGTTCCTTCAGATCTTCAGCTCCTTACTGCAGGAGAAGAGGTGAGTGTGGCTGAGCTGGGATCAGTCTGCACGAGGCCTTACATACTAGAGCCTCTCCCATATGCTCACCATGGTCTAAGGTTCTGGGATTTGTGGTTGGGCAGCAGCCCAGCGCCCCTGTTGCCCCAGCCTTGTCCCTTCCATCTGCGCTCTGCCCAGCAGGTTCCTCCGGGACTACGACACACTCTTCCCTGTGGCTGATGATGTCAGCTTGCTACAGCAGGCCTCCGCAGTCTTGTATCCTTCCACAGCCACTGGGACAGGACCTGCCCTGACCAGGTTGGAGATGGGCTGGTAGGACCCAGAGGAGCAGAGGGAGGTTTAGCTCCAGAACCCACGGGTCAGCCAGCTTTCCCCAGAGCGCCTGCCAGAGCCCCAGTCCCTGTTTCTGGAGGAGATGACTGACTACTCTGATCCTCAGAGCTGGGTGGGGTAGGAGTCCTGCGTTCTGTAGGTATTTCCTGAGTGTCTGGGCCTGTGTGACCAACATGGACTCAGCCCTGCTCTCACAGACCTCATTGCAGGAGGGGAAACAGACAAGTAAACAAGCACGCTCAGGGTAAGGCTATGAGACAGAAGTGATATCCAAGCTGAGAACAGCAGAAGAAAGTGGAGGAGGCCAAGCCCAGAGCTAAGTGTTCCCAGTGGATGGAGGACAGAGAGGCCCATCTGGGGAGCCCACAGACATTTTGTGTAGATCAGGGGGGCAGGGGCTGGGGGACTGGGGGGCCAGGGTCTAGTGGGAGGAGGCTATGGCATGGCAGATGAGCTGGGGCTGAGCAGACCTGCACGGCCCTGGGATGACACTCACTGAGTTTGGACTCTGTCCTACTGGGGTGTCATGGAAAGGTATGAAACAGGGAGTAACAGCGTCAGTTTTGTACTTTGGAAAAGCCCTGTCTGGCACAGGGAGGAGAACAGACTGGTCTGGGACTTCTTTGAGAGGCCCAGGGGCTGGTGAGGATGCTGTGGCTGGCATCCAGGCATGGCCAATGGGGGTGTGGATTAGAAGGGGAGGGACGGCGTCTAGGGCAACTCCCAGATGTCCGGCTTGACAGTGCCCGGGGTGGTAGAGAGGGAGGAAGGACAGGGAGGAGGGCCTGTGGGCCATTTTGGAGGCTGGGCTAGGTTGCTCAGTCTCGCCTCAGGGATACCCTCGGGGCCCTCAGCCTTTGCAGGAAGCCCTCAGCTAGTTGGACAGGAAGCCTGGTGGCAGTACCCCCATCAGGCCCTCCTCCTGGGGGTCAGTACAGAGGGGGAGCTGCTGGCTCATCCAGATATCATGCCCAGGATGCCCCTGGCCCTGTCTTCATCCAGAGCTGCTTTCTGCTGAGTGGCAGGTAACTAGGTTTCAAGGCCACTGTGGTCATGGTCTGGCCTATTTCCCCACGCAGCCCGGGTGCCCATCATGCCCACTGGGTACAACCCAGATAGCCCCTAACACAAGTCATAGGGTCAGATGCCAGGGAGGGATTGAGAAATGATGCTGCCTCAGAGCGAGGGAGGCAGAAAAGGCCCTGGCACCCAAGAGACAGACTCCTTAACACATGTCACAGGGACGAGACACGGACTGCCTACATCCTCCAGGCGGTCGAGAGTGCGTGGGAAGGGGTGGACCGACGGAAAGCCACAGATGCTAAAGACCCACCGGTGGCCGAGGATCCTAATGGGGTCATTGTGTTGGCGGAGCCAGTCGGTGGACCATCCTCACATCCAGAAAACTCAGAGGAAGAGGAGGTGTGTGTTTGGAGCGGCGTTTTCCCCTGCTTCCCCTGCCCCTTGCGGGAAACCTCTCCCTTCTTGGTTTCTGCTCTCAGAGAAAAAGGTTTCTTTTGGAATGGACAGCCTCGAGCTGCCTTTAGAGAGTCCTGCAAGTCGCTTCAGCTGCCAGAACCCCAGTTTCTCTCCTATAAAATGAGGTGCTGGAGCTTTTTCCACATGAAATCTTTCCTGGAGCTCTCCTCTAAGGAGTTCACCGTGGCGCTGCTTGGGCCGCAGCGGAGAGCAGCGCCTGGTCTCACTGCCTGGCCAGCCTGGATGCCCCGCCATGGGACTGCAGGGCTCCACTGAGCGAGTTTGGAAGCCCCTGATCTAGTACTTTCTCTCCAGGCTTTTCCAGAACTCGCCCAGTCTGCAGCTGTACCGACTGGCCCCTGAGCCCAGGACTCTTCCTTGCATGTTGGGAGGCAGCATGACGTAGGGATTAAGGCCACCCAGTCTCTGGGGTCAGACAGCTCAGGGGTGTACCCGGCTTCCTGCCACTCACCAGCTGTGTGGCCATCACTCCCCTCTAGCCTCTGTTCCCCATTTATAAGTGGGGACAATCACCATCCCTGCCTCCACAAGTTTGTTGGGATTCCCAGAGCGGTTGTGTGGAGGGCCCCGAGCCCAGCTGGTCCTCTGTGCTCTGTTAACAGATGCTACTTTCTTTCCTGTTAGACTTAGGCCCATGACTGCCACAGGGCCTTGGAAAATGACAGTCCTCTCCACCTTTCCCACCCTCTTCCCCATTTGGCTTCTTAGCTGAGACATGGATGATTTTTATTGTTGTTTGTTTGATTTGCGAATTTTCTTAAATGAGAAACCTAACAGAATTCAGTCACATTGAGGAGGATATGAACTGAATCCCCCTTCTTAAAAAGAATATAATCAGAGGGGAGCAGCTCCCCACAGTCCAAGGCTGGTGATTGCTGCTCTTCTCCAATGTCAGCCATCAACTTGTTAGAGCCGGATAAGAATGAGTAGAAGCCACGGCCATTTCTGGAGTGCCTGTTCTTCTCCGGGCACTGTGCTCGGTGCTTTGGGTGCATGATTCTCTCTGAGCCATCTGAAACAACCCCATGAAGTGGATGGTAGTATGCCTGTTTTGTATGGAAGAAGCTAGGGTTCAGAGAGGGAAAGTGCCCTGCCCAAAGTCACACAGCCAGAAGTAGCTCTCCCAGTAAGTCACAGAACCCCCCTTTTCCCAGGGGAGGAAATGAAGACTTAAGAGGCCTGAGTCACTTGGCTGAAATCCTCGGCCCAGGAGTGGCAGGCCAGGACTCATACCAGGTGCCCTGATTCCCAGTCCTGTGTGTGTCAGGGCCTATGGCCCTCTCACCCACCTGGCCCGGTCTTCCCTGCCTTTACTCCAGCTCTCTCCGCAGTGCATGGGGGCGGCGGCCACCCTGGGCCCCCCCGTGTGTGGCGTGGAGCTGGACTCGCTCATCTCCCAAGTGAAGGACCTGCTGCCAGACCTCGGAGAGGGCTTCATCCTGGCCTGCCTGGAGCACTACACCTATAACCCGGAGCAGGTGATCAACAACATCCTGGAGGAGCGGCTGGCCCCGGCCCTCAGCCAGCTGGACCGCAGCCTAGACAGGTAGGAGAGACAGGTGGGAGGTGGCTCACGGCGCCCATGCGGTGTCAGGGCCCTGGCCGGAGGCACTCTGGGGGCCTTGTCCCAGGCCCCTTCTTAGCTCCTCTGCTTCCCGCTCCTGTGCCAGAACTCAGCCCTCTGTCTCTTCCCCACGGTAGCCTTCGCCAACCGTATAAATGAATGGCCGCCTTGGGAAAACATCAGAACTTGAGGCCCCCAGGAGGTCCTCACATGCCCCCTGCAGGGCGGAGAGTGTGCATAGCTGGATGGCTCTGCCACACCTTGCTGGAGGACCGATTGGAAACGTGGCATGTGACAGAGGGGTTGCTGAGCCTTTCAGAGCTCCGAAGTTTCCGGCCTGCCCCTGTCATTGTCACCCTTCCAGTAGATTCCTGAGGGAGGACGGCCAGAGCTTCTCACTTTCCTCACACCTACCTTTCGGAGTTTGGTCCACTGCTTCTCTGAAGGCCCACGGGCCCGTGGGAATGGATGCACGAATGTGCATAAACAGATTGTGTTTATTGAATGAATGAACTTAGCTCTGTCTTTGGACAAGTTCCTTAGCCACTTTGTGCCCATTTTACAGAGGAGGGCACTGAGGCACAGAAAGGTTGAGTGATGTTAGCGACCCATCTCATCAGACTGTTGTGAGTGTTCGGTGAGGGAGGGAACTTTTAAGAAAATCTGTGTGAACGGCACGTGGGACCGAGGGGGAGCTTTGCGTGAGGGATGGCTGTGTGCCCAGGGAGGGGCCAGACCGGGCAGGGTTTTAGATCGTGTCTCGTGTGGCTGTTGAAGGGGAGTGGAGGATCTGATGGATGTCACATGGGAGGGGCCAGTAGGGCACAGGTAGGCGTCAGCTAACCTATCCCCCTTAAATTGATTTCTCTGTCACCTCCCAGGCAGGTGAAGCCAGACCCGACACCCCTGCTGACGTCTCGTCACAATGTCTTCCAGAATGATGAGTTTGATGTGTTTAGCAGAGATTCAGTGGACCTGAGCCGGGTGCACAAGGGCAGGAGGTGAGTGCAGTAGGCTGTGGGGTGCCAGGCACCCCAACTCTGTAAGTGCAGTGAGAAAATCGAAAAAAAGGGCTCCGCCTTTATGGAAGTGGCCTGAGTTTCAGCTTAGGGTCCCTAGCAGTCCAGGGTCCCCCCCCACCCAGCAGTCCAGGACCCGTGTGCTCCCAGCAGGCAGGGCCAGGTTCTCTAAGGGTTATACGTTAGGCTCTGACTCTGCACAGGGTGGTTTTTTAATGAATCCCCTTGTTGATAGCAAAAGGCCAGAGGAACCTAAGCTGTCCCCCTCTTCCCTTCTTGTATCTTCGGATGTGTCAACCATCAAATCTCTGGGCGATAGAGCTGAGCCATAATTCCCAGAAGCCCCTCCTCCACATGATTTTCTCCATTCTGTGACAAAATGAGAAAATTAAGGGCTGTACTAAGTGAGCTTTTCAGAGGGTGAGCATATTCTATTTTAAGGTCTTTCTACTTATTTTTAGCTTATGTCCTTTCTACTTTTTTGGCATTGAAAAGTCCATTTATGATTTACTCATTCATTCAACAAATATTTGCCTGGTGCTCACGGCATACTAGGCCCTGGATTTATTAGGTGCTGGAGATGTAGTGGGCAGTAAAACAGACATGGCCCCTGGCCCTGTGGAGTTTGCACTAATCAGTTGGTCAAACGAGCCAAGTAACATTGCAGATCTAACAGGCACTATAAGGTGAAGGTGTGCAGACTTCCGAGCTTCTAGTAAGGGCTTTCATCTGGGCAGGAAGGCTCCTCTGAGGAAGTGACATGGGACCAACAGTGGAAGGATGAGGAAGGGTCAAAGGGCCAATTCTGCAAAGCGGGGGAGGGGGGAAGAGACTTTCCAGGCAGAGCAAACAACAGGGGCGGTGACCCCGAGGTCATGGGGAGCATGGTAAGGGTCCCATGAGCTGACACATTTCATGCTTTGGAAAGAGGACCTGACTTTGGAGTAGAGGCCCATTGGAGGGACCACGAGTCAGTAGTGATGATAGAGGCAAAGTAAATAAATATATACAAAAAATATAAAAGGCAAAGTAAGACATTGACAACACTGTGCTCGCCCCCAGGGTTTCCCTAAATGGTACTGGTTCATGAAATCTGGAAATTTGGGAACTGCTGGACAATTACAGGCTTCCCTCTCTCTCTGCCTCATTATATATATGTATATATAAATACACACACACACACACACACACGGAGACAGTGAGGTTCAGAGAGCAGCAGTGGGAGACCTGCCCCGTTCTTGTTATAGGAGCCCCAGTGGCAGAATTGTAAGCTGCTGCTTCAGAGAGGGCCCCGTGCTGCTCCCTCTCCCCAGGGCCATCGGCTGCTGGAAGCTTGGCTGGCCGAGGGCTCGGGGAGCGGACTCAGGGCAGCTATAAAGCCATCTGGCTGGCTGGACAGGAAGCAATTGTAAACTGCTTAGTCACACACACTGCAACATCTCCAGATCCCGGGCTAGAGATGTTATCCTGCATCCGTGGCCACTGTTCCAGACCAGAATGACCCTCTGCAGCTCCTGCTATGGAGAAAGGGGAAGATGAGGAGGGCTGTGCCTTGCTCCTGGGGCACTCCAAGCTGCCAGGCAGAGACTGGGCGGCAAATGTTTACTGAACTCGTTGTGCTGGGTAGCCTGGGCGCTGGGGATTGCAAAGAGGCAAAGCCTCCATTTATGTGTTCATTATTTATTTATTCATTCAGCAAATATTTATTAAGTGATTTACTAGCTCCAGATCCTATGCTAGACACCAGGGAGACAAGGTGAGCAGGGCATCCGGGTCGTGCTCTCAAATGGCACAGAGACCGTGGGAAAGACTCAGACCATTAAACAAGTAGCAACAGAGTGGGAGAGGTGCTGGGGTGGGGCATACAGGGACCGCAGTGAGGACACCTGTCCTAATCTGTTCCTTGCACGACAGGGAGTTGCCAGGTAGGGCAGTCTAGGCTTGGTCAACCTGTGGTACAGCCTCATCATCAAGGACACATCTTTGCCATCTCTCGGAGCTAGTTCCTTCAAAGCCACTGGGTGGCCACAGCTGTTTCAGCCGTGACCTCCAGCAGTGACAGTGCCAAGAGGGAGTCTGGACCAGATCTTCCTGTATCTCTCTTAGAGACCAGGAAGCCTTTCCCAGAAGTCTCCAGACTCTGCTCACATCTCAGTGGGGAGCTGGGTCACAGGGCCGAGGGCCAGGGCTCCAGGAGGGGGAAAGGTGGAAAGACCTGAACCAAATAAGGGTCTGTTAGGAGTGGGATGAAGTGGACGGTGGCTGTTGGGTAGATGCTGGGCACATGTGCTGCAGGTAATTGCTAGCCAAGTGAAGGAGGCAGTGTGTATAAGGTGGGGTTCCATAACTCCTTTGGACTGAACAGAGGCGCCCTGGAAGATTATGAGTGCTCTCCCTCAGAAAAGGGTCTATGGCCAAAAAAATATCTGTGCACTTGGCTTTTTGGAGAGACACAGAGCGCATTAGCACATTAAAGGTTCTGACAAGTCCTGCAGGAAAAAGAAACAGGATTCACTTTGTTGAGCTCAGCAGGTGCCAGGTTCACTTTTAGTCAACATCTTATTTCATCCGTGGGATGCAGAATTAAGACTTGGCAAGGATAAGAGGCTTGCTTGTGATGGATCGCACAGCCCAGGACGTACCTGAGCAGACTGGAGTCAGTAGACCTGTGTTCTGGCCCTGGCTCAGCTGGTAGAAGCTGGGTAACCTTGGGAAAGGTGCTCTGCCTCTTGGGACCTCCATTTCCTCACCTGGAAAAGGAGGGATTTTTTGCCTCCTCAGGTCCTTTAGGAGTTCAGAGGTGGGAATCACCCCTCAAGGGCCAGTTTGAGTTGGGCTTTGAAGGATAGGCCGGAAGAAGTGAGGAGGGGAAAAAGTGGCTGGGCTTCAGGGGAACCCACGTGTTCCCTGGGCTCCCTGTCATCTTGTAGGAGGCCGAGGAAGCACCTGCTCCAAGGTCTCCAAAACCACTGTTGCCTGTGTTTCCAGACTTGACTGGACTTCTGGCCCTCAGATGGATCTTCTCCTGGCTGGCTTTGCCCCTGACTTTTCTTTTCCTTCTTGGTTCTGAATGGGGTCATGGGCCCAAAGCTGCACCTCCCTGGATGGGATGCCCAGGGCACCAGGCTCCAATGTCCCTGCCTGTGTCCTCTCCAGGACCCTGGGTAGGTAGAGTTGGCAAGGCTTCTCCAGCCCTGCCAGGGAAGCGACATAACCAGAGGCCCACAGTGGGACCTTATGCATGAAAACTGGGGACCAGATGGACCAGGAGCTGTGGGGTGTGGCAGAAAGGACAGTGACACCTCTCATTCATCCTTGGACACCTGATTCAGCACAGGTCCTAGCACCTAGTAGGCCCTCCGGAAATGTGTGTGGAAAGAGGGAATGTGCTCCTTCTAGTGGCACCAAACACGTGGACAGGCTCGGGCCCCCTTCCCTTGCTCCCCGCCTCTTTCCTCTTCAGCCCCCAGCCTGGAGAAGAGAGCCAGGTAAGGGTTGGGGCCGTAGTCACTGGCCCCCTTTCCTGGCATGACATAAAATTTTCCTGTGGACCAAGAATTTTCCCTGGCCTAGATCCAATGCCCCCCAGCCCCCCAGAGGCTCCATTTCCTCTCCTCCCCCACCACTAGACCCCCTAAGCCAGAGGTCATCTTTCCTTTCTCTGTGTTCCCAGGACCTGCTTACCTCCATTTAGCACATTTCATGTTAGCTGCCATTTGCCCGTGACCCTCACTAGACTGGGAGTTCCACGAGGCCAGATCCAGATCTTACTCTTTTTTGAATCTCTCCCGCAACCCTGCCTGGCACATAGTAGGCCCTTAGTAAAAACTGTTGAAGGAAGCCAAATCCTGACCTGCCCCAGCCTCCCCGGCAGACAGCCTGAGAGACTCAGGCCCCTTTCCCTCCCTGCATCAAAAACCAGTTAATAGAAGATTTTTATGGAAGCTGTGTATGACTTTGTATCTCTTTTTCTTCTTCTTCTTCTTTCTTCTTTCTTTTTTCTTCTTTCTTCTTTCTTCTTCTTTTCCCCCCTACCCTTGATACATTCCAGAACACTGATTACACAGCTAAGCTGGATTTTCTTGCCTGGCATCTCATATTGATTTTCCCCTGCAGGGCTAGAAACTACATTCCACAGGCCTGTCCATGTGTCTGACAAGCCAAGTTTTTCTACAGATTTGCAAAGCCACAGTCAAGAGGCCTGAGTCCCCACTGAGGTTGTGCTACAGTTCACTGATCCCAAGCACATCCCACTCCTTCCTTCCACCGCACCCAAATTTCCTCACCTGTGATATATAACAGGAGTTGAACTTTTGGACTTTTTTCTTCCAGTGCAATCTGACATGGAAGATTGAACTGTAGAACAGATAGAAAGCCACCGTGATGAAACAGGGGTGGGAAAAAGAAGGCAGCTACCCCTGCTCACCCCTCAGCCCCCTGAGGTCCCCTGTGGCTCCCCTGAGCTCAGTAAGAGGGCCACATGTGGCCTTGCTCTTTCTTAAATTATTGTTTATTTTTTAAAGATTTTATTTATTTTAGAGAGAGAGAGACAGCATGAGCAGGAGGGGCAGAGGGAGAGGGAGAGAGAGAATCTCAAGCAGACTCCATGCTGAGCATGGAGCCCGACGAGGGGCTCGATCCCAGGACCCTGAGATCATGACCTGAACCGAAACCAAGAGTCGGAGGCTTAACTGACTGCGCCACCAAGGCACCCCTAAATTTTTGTTTTTTAAAAGGTTCAAATAATCCCAGGCCCTACCTAGGAGTAACCATTGTCATTTGGTGGGGGACTTACTAGCTCTGTCTGTGCATTGACATATGTAAATTATAATCGCTGTGCTCATAGGAACAGATAGTTTGTCTGGTTTGCTTTCTGCTTTTTATACAGTTGGGATCATATGTATACATTTTTCTGTAGCTTGCTTTTTTCCTCTGGAGTAAGTCTTAGAACTCTTTCTGCATCAGCACAAATAGATGAATGTCATTCTTGATAACAGCCGCCCAGCGTTCTGTAATATAGCTGTGGCATATCATTTGGCCATTTCACCCGTGATGGACACTAGGTGTTTTCCATTTTTCACTGTCACAAACAACGTTGAAAAGAAAATTCCCCATCAGACCTCTTTATGCACCTCGCCAGCCTTTCCCTAGGGTGGGCGCCTCTGAGCGGCATTTCCCGGCCGAAGGGTGGGCACGTTTTCCATGGCGGCAGCCCTTTGGGATGCCTTCCAGAGCGGCTGGACCCGGGCACACAGGCACCTGCCCATGCCCCTGCCCCCTCTCCCCAGTGCAGTTTGCGCCAGCCCGAGCCCACGGTGCCTTGGACCCTCGTGCTCACAGCCTTCCAAGCCTGATGGTTTCCTCTCTCTCTGCTGTCCCCGCCTGTCCGCCGCCAGGAAGGAGGAGAACACACGGAGCCTGCTGAACGACAAGCGGGACGTGGTCGTGCAGCGGCAGCGCTATGAGCAGTACCGCGTGGTGGTGGAGGAGGTAAGGGCCCCAGGCCGCCGGGGTGGGGGACACTGGCCAGCCCCGGGCCCCTGGGCCCCACGCTCCTGCTCTTGCAGGTGCCCCTGCAGCCTGGCGAGGGCCTGTCCTACCGAGGTGACGACTACGAGGACGAGTACGATGACACATACGATGGCAACCAGGTGGGCGCCAACGATGCCGACTCGGATGACGAGCTCATCAGCCGCAGGTGAGGCTGCAGGGCCCTAAGTGGGTGGAGTGCCGGGGGGCGCGGGGGTGGGGCGCAGCGGGGCTCCCAAAGCCTCTTGTTTATACAGATGGGGAGGCTGAGGCCCTGATCCCGTGAGCAAGTCAGTGGTAGAGCCAGGGCCTAAACTGAGCCCTTTTGACTCCTAGTCCAGTGCTCCTTCTACCCCCAGCCACCACCTTGGCCATTTGGTCCAGCCCATCCTGAGTGGGGCAGCATTTATTTGGTTTCATACAGTCCTTTTAGATTGTTCTCCTTGACTGGAGAAAACTCTCCGCCGTGGAATCTTAGAGAGATTTCCCAGTGCAGATAAAAGCAGAGCTGCCCCAGCCCGCTCAGCCTCCCCTAAGCCCCTGCGTCAGACTCTGGTACCCTCAGAGAGTCTGGGGGCTGGAGCAAAGCTGGCTTGAAAAGCACTTTGGTTTTTTCCAGCTCCCTGAGCCCATCCCCATCCTGATGCCCCCTCCTCACCCAGCCCAATCCCCTCCTCCCTGAGGCTCCCTCTCCAGGTTTAATCCAGTCTTTGATCTCACTTTCTCTCTAAACCCTTAGGCCCTTCACCATCCCTCAGGTGCTGAGAACCAAAGTGCCTGGAGAAGGGCAGGAAGAGGACGAGGAGGAGGAAGAGGAGGCTGAAGAAGAGGCTCCTAAGGTACCTCCTTGGCAGGTGGCAGATGAAGGGGAGGGTGCAATTCTGAAGGGCACATTGGGACCACTGCACCCCTGCTTTCCCGCAGTTAGCTCTGAGGCAGCCCCAGCATCCCTGCCCGGGAAAAAAGGGGTTCTTTTGAGCCTAGGATGTCTGCTTGGAGAGTTGCTAGCTTACAACTCACCTCCACTACCCAGTGAGAGCTTAGGGGATGGATTAGAGGCCAAGCCTTTGAGCTGCTGGGTTCATTAGGCCCAGGAGCCTGGGGGCTGAGAGAAGGGCAGCTCTCGGCCACCATGCTCAGGATGGCAATTCTTTTTTTTTTTGTTTTTTTTTAAGATTTTATTTATTTGATTTGTCAGAGAGAGTGAGAGAGCAAGACAGAGAAAGAGCAAGCACAAGCAGGAGGAGTGGCAGGCAGAGCTCCCTGCTGAGCAAGGAGCCCGATGCGGGACTTGATCCCAGGACCCATGACCTGAGCCAAAGGCAGACACTTAACCAACTGCCACTGAGCCCCTCAGGGGTTCCAGGACGGCAATTCTGCAACTCACAGAGATGTTAGAGCCCAAGGGCCCTTGGAGGTCATCTGGGCTGGTGGGTTTGAAAATTCTATTTTTTGGCAGCTGAACTTTTTCTTCAAAAGAAACCTCAACATATAAAACAGATAAGGGCGGTGTTGCTCAGGTTGAATGGAGTGGCATCCTGGGACTCCTGGAGCCCCTCGTGCCCTCCCACCAAGGTAACAAGCGGAATGTGTCCAGGCCAGGCTCCTGATGAAGAGGGGTAGCAGAAACTGATGGAGACCGTGGCTATTGGGGTAGAAGCACACATACACCCTGCCTGAGGGGCTTCTCAGCAGAAACGTAGGCCCAGAGCTTCCAGGGCTTTCTCTTCTACCCAGGCAAGGGATCAGCCCAGATTTTTCTATAAAATCTTCCAGTTTTCAAATGTTACCAGTTACACTTGTTTTGTTTGTGTTTTTTTAAGCAGTGCAGACCACTGAAGCCTGTGTGTGATCCTTAAGTCACAGTACTCCCCACTGCTAGTCCAGTCTCCTTTGCTTATTGGCCAAAAAACAGTCTTCAAGAGTGGCTACTCCCAGAGCACATCGGTGGTGGCACTAGAGTGAGGACAAAGCAGCTCCCGGGGCAGCTCTCTTGGCCTTCAAGGCCCTGTGTGGCCTCTCACGGTGGCCATTCTGGCCTGTCCCCCATTTGTCATCCGTGCTCCAATTGTGGTCCACCTGCCCCACCATGCCTGTGCAGGACGCCTTAGTCCCTTTAGCTGCTTCTAAAGGAGAAGAGAGGCTTCTAATGGAAGCCTTGGACCCAAGCAAGGGTGGCTCCATTCTAGGGCATCACCCTGCCACACTGTGGCTTTCCCCCACTCCTGGCCTGGAGGCATCAACAAGACTCAGTCAGGCGCAGCCTCACCACAGCTTAGGCAAATGGGGCTGCTCGTGACTAGATTTTTTTTTTTCTCCCCTCCCCTCCACAGCCTGACCATTTTGTGCAGGACCCTGCAGTGCTGCGGGAGAAGGCAGAAGCCAGGCGGATGGCCTTCCTCACCAGGAAGGGGTGAGCATTTTAAAGAGCTGTGTCTGGTGGGAGGGGACCCATCTGGGGAAGGCTCAGCCAACCACGTAGGAAGCCCACACATAAACCCCAAGTGCGTTACATGTGTTAATTTAACCCTCACGACAGCCCTATGAAGTAGCCACTTTATCATCATCCTCATTTTACAGAGGAAGAAATAGGCCCATCCCCGTCCCCAAGCTCTCCTCTCCTCGTTGTGGGCTGTGGTCAGCCCACAGGTGGTTCTTCCCACAGCTAGGCCACGGACCCATCTGGAGGCAGGGCTCAGAGAAGAGAGTTCACCAGACACAGGACCGGCCAGAGCCCCCCAGAGCCCTGCCCTTGCTGGGCTCCATTTCTTCTCCCACTGGAAGTGGGGACAGGGGTGTCCTGGGCCCGAGCCATGTGTCCTCTCCCCGGGACCTCTGAGAAAGGCAGTGGGCTCTTCCCATCCCCTGGGGTGGCTTGTTCCTCCCTCAGGTACCGGCACGACAGCTCGACGGTAGTGGCCGGCAGCCCCCGGGGCCACGGGCAGAGCCGTGAGACAACCCAGGAACGCAGGAAGAAGGAAGCCAACAAGGCAACGCGAGCCAACCACAACCGGAGAACCATGGCTGACCGCAAAAGAAGCAAAGGCATGATTCCATCCTGAGGCCGCCCTGTCAGGGCCAGCCGGGAGGCAGCAGCACCAGACCTGCCAGGCTGAGTTACCATAGCCTTGGGTCTCCTCACCAGTTGGCCTCCTGCCAGGGCCCCAAGTTCAACTCCACCCCTCAACAGCCTCAGCTTCGCAGCCCCTGAGAAGGCCGCCTCGTCGTCCACCAGCCAGCCGTGAGCGCCTTCTTGCAGAACACACAGTGCCTTATCCCACAGCGGAGGAACCCCTGGGGCCAGCGAGCAGGCAAAAGGGATGGGGACGGAGCCCCAAGGCAAGCCCCACAAACCTCATGCAGCAAGACACCACTTCTCTTGGTGGTTTCCTTCCTGGACGGCAGGAAACCTATAAATTCCAAAACAAAAACAGAAAAGGCCTGCAAATAAAGTTTTTGACCCTTTCAAGCAGTGATCCATGATGTGCCCCTGGCCTGCTCCCCCTGTACCCCATTCTTCAGTGACAGCCACCATCGGGAGAGCGAGAGAGCAGGATGATCACCTGCTCTGCTCATCAGCCCTGCGTGCTTGCCTCTCATTTTAACCCCTCCTGATGTTGCCCTGCTTTGCTGTGTGGCCCTGAGCACATTACTCCCTCCTCTGAACCTCTAGTCCCTGCTTGTAGAAGGAAGAGATGAGGTTGTGAGGCCCTCTGGTCCTTTCCGTGTTCTCGTTCAGTCCCTACAACCTCCACCCTAGGAGGTAGGGAGTATTTCCGGCCCTGTGGTGTAGGTGAGCCACTGAGAGCTGGAGGTGCCTGCCCAGGCTACAGGCAGGAAGTGGGAGAACAAGGATTTGACCCTCAGTCGGACCCCTGGCCTTTATAGCATCCTAGACGGCGGGGTCATTGCCATCTCACAGCGGACCTGAGGACACTTGTCCCGTAGCAGAGCCAGTACCAGAGCTCGGCGCCTGCTGGTTGTGTGTACCCTCCATCAGATCCTGCAGAGTCAAGGAGTCGGAGACCAGAAGACACCAGTGAGGATGTCCCTACCAAGCCCCGTTGAAGGACTTGGGTCCAGTTCCTCAAAACCTCCTCCTGGGCATGGCCGGTTGGTTCACCATGTGGCAGCAGCTGCCAGGCAGCCTGATTCCTGGGCCCCTGAGAATGTTGCTGATCAACAGAGGATCGGCCGCGGGGTGTTTGCTGGCCTGATCCTGCCCAGCCTGGCCTGGAGGCCATCCCCGGGAGCCAGGGCCCCTGCCCAGCTGGACCTTGACAAATCACCCTAGATGCTTGTGTAATTTATTTGCATGTGGTTAGGATGAGCGTCTGGAGCAGCGAGGCAGACAGGCCCTTGACGAATTGGTTTTGTTAGGTCAGCCACACAAGCAAAAATCAATAGCAATTCCTCTGAGTCACGCCAGTTCTCTTGGTGCATTTGAGATGCAGAGCAGATAGGAGAGTGGTGTCTTCTCCTCGAGCTGCTGAATTAGCTGAGATCGGGCTCGGGGTTAGCCACTCTGGCAGGCAGCAGGAAGACTCTGCTTCCTCCTCGAGGCATTTGCCAGGAACCGTACAGGCGAGGGCCATTTCTTTTCTCTCTCCCTGAGCTCCTCAGACCCAGCTCTTGGCCCTGGAGCAAGGTGAGGTGAGTTAGGGGAGCTCTGGCCTTTACCTACCTTACCTGTTGCTGTTCACACAGCCCCTCTCACCTTCATTCTGTCATACATGCCTCCTGACCGCTGGGAGCAGTGTTCAGGCCTCACCTTGGCATTCTGGTTTAAAGGATTGGAGAAGACAGCGATTTTTCAAACTTTCCAGAATGTACTGCCAGGTCAAACTTGATCTCCCTTGAGGAACTATGTTCTTCCTCATTTCAGATCTTGAGGGCACCCCTTCAGGGATGTTTGCAAACACCTCACTCAGGAGTCATCCAGAGCAGTGCTTTACCTTCACCTCTCAGGGCCTCAGTTTTCCCATCTGCAAAGTGGGTACGTTGGGCCAGGTGAATGGTGTCCACCTGGTGCCAATCCAATCCTCCGCGGAGGCCCCAAGGTTTAAGATGGGCAATGGCAGAAATGTTACAAGTGAAGTGGGTGGGAGCCCTGAACCCTGCTCACTTTGATCACTGGGCCCTGCCACCCCACCACTGCTCCTAAGCAGGAATTTCTAAGTGCCTTCTCTGCACCCTATTAGAGAACACGACTGTCACAGGCATTTCCCGGGAAGCTTTTATGACCCAGTACCTCCAAGAGGACTTAGGACTTTGAATGTCATTGTTTCTAGCTCACGAGTGGCAAAGGTAGCAGACGGGTCTGTCTGAACAGTGCTACTGTGCCTCTGTGAGGTGGGGAGGGCAGGGCAGAGCCTGTCACGGATAAAAAGGGACCCGGGAGCCCAGGGAGGCAAGTTAGCAGCAGAGCCTGGACGCAGGTCCTTTCTTAGCTCCAGGTGCACTCTGGAAAAGTAAGCAATTAGCAGGAAACTGCCTGTCCCTGTCACACCGGGAGCTTGGGCTAAATAATGCAGGGAGGGAGACCAACAAAACCACAAACAAAAGTCAGCCCACCAAAAATGCAGGGGGTGGTTGTGGAGCCCCCTTCTTTAAAATGACGTCAATGAACACTTGGTAGGAATGTGAGAAACAAAATATTGAAGAATCAGTTTGTTGTTCTTGTTGTTTTTTTAAGAGAATAAATTGGATGGTAATGCTCCATGATTGTGAAAATATTTTTGAAAAATTTGCGTACAGACCAAGTCTGGAAAGGAATGTACATAAACGAAAACGACAGTAAGACCGTGATATTTGTAATGAGAATTAAAGGCGCTTACCAAGTACTTCCATGGCCGGAGTTTCTGCTGGGTTCTTGGGTTATCTCGTCTAACTCTCACCAGGTAGGTACAGATGAGAAAACCAAGGTCGGAGAGGGTAGGTGACCTGTCTAAGGTCACACATATACCACATGACCAAGGAGGGCTTCAGTCCCAGGATTGTCTCCTAAAGCCCACGCTCTTAACCCCTACACCACATGCCATTCCTTTTTTTCCCCCCACATCCGCATCCTTGTCACTACTGTTCTTAACAAAGAAAGAAGAAAATATAAGCCCAATAGCTATAGGACAGGAGGATGGGAAATCCCAGTTCATCAGACCAGGTTGAGGGGACCCCACTTGTATGTATTGCACGAGTGGGGTATCGTCCCACAGATCTCAGATGCCCTGTTTTATTTCACTTTTTTTTTCAGATTCGTTTGTCCTTTCCTCTGTGTGTCCAGTCTGCCATGAAGCCCACTGAATGACTCTTCATTTTTATGTCCAGTTCCTGTCCAGGGGAAGCAGAGAAAAGGCTGGGGGTAGAGCTCTCAGCTGAGATGGGGACCGCAGAGCCTGAGGAGCACGGAGGCCTGGGAGGGGGCCAAAGGGTCCAGGGTGAATATGGAAGAAGGGTGGGAAAGAGGATGGGAGTCCCAGAATTAGGACCACAGGCCAGGCCATGGCCCAGACATTTGTCCCGAACAGCAGCTCCCAGTATTTACTGCCTGCCCTCAGGGCTTGGGGCATGGACGGTCAGCCTGGTTGGGAGGACCAAGGGAGGAGACGCTAAATGCATCCACTCAGCGCACGTTTACCAAGATCTACTAGGTGCCAGGCACTGCGGTCAGGCATGTGTGAGAAAGATTGTCTCCCCTCCGCCCTCATGGAGTTCACAATCCAAGGTGGGATGTGGATATTAAGACATTTTGGGAAAGTGATTTAGTCACGGTTGTACTAAGCCCTAATAAACGAATGGAGAAATGAGCAGGCAAAGTGAACAGAAAGAAGCCAAGAGCAAAGAGACTTTCCAGAAGCAGAGGGTAGTGGGGCACCTGGGTGGCTCAGTCGGTTATGCGTCTGCCTTCGGCTCAGGTCATGATCCCAGGGTCCTGGGATAGAGCCCCGAATTGGGCTCTCTGCTCAGCGGGGAGACTGCTTCTCCCTCTCCCTCTGCTCCCCCCAACCCACTACCTCTCGCTCTCTCTCTCTCTCTCTCAATTAAATAAATAAATAACATCTTAAAAAAAAGAAGCAGAGGGTAGTGGTCGCAGTGTCAGGCAGCAGCTGGGAGGTCAACCTAGCTAAGTCAGTGGGGCTCCCTGGGGCTCTGCCCCACCTTGCCAGGAAGTGATGGGGAGATGTGGAAAGAATGGAAGGTGAGGAAGAGAAGGCAGGAGAGTGGGGCCCCCCTTCTGAGGAAGTTGGCATCAGAGAGGAGGAAGAGGGAGCTGAGAGGTGAGGAGGGAGCCTTGGAATCCAGACCATGTTGATGGGATGCCTAGAAGGAGCAGGGGAGGCACCAGGGCTCTAGAAGATCCACTTGGGGGAAGACTAGACCCCAGGAGGAGCTCCCCAGGTCAGCCTGATGTGCGGTCCTAGCTAACTAGATCTCTTGAGTGCTGGGGCAGGAGGAAGTGACCTTGACTATGGCCAGAGGCTGGTGTTGCAATTCTGCAGCCAGAAGCAAGGTAACCAATGCCCCGGGGGGTGGGGTTGGGGTGGGGTGGTATGTGTGTCTTAAAATGAGAATCAAATTCTGACTTCACACTGGAAATTCTCTCCCAACAATCGATAATCATCAAGAGAATTTTACGTAGGTGGCAGACCTCGGAGAGCCTTAAAGGGCATTTTGTCCAGAGTTTCTCAACCTATTTAAAGCCCCAACCCACCCCCTAATCTCAGACTCTGGGATTTCAGCTATCCCCACTTCCCCTGGGAGTGGGGGAGGTTTGCCCTGCCTAAGAATTCGCTGGGCTTCCATGGCGCTCTCCCAGCCATGGAGGTTATATCATCGAGCTTTACTCGCTGTGGTCTGAATTACAAGAACAACAGGCACTTAATTTTAGTTTCCCAACTATGAAATTATGACACTAAATATGCTTTTTCTGGCTGCATGAGCCCACCCTCAGCACTCTGACAGATCCCTTAAGTGCTCTGCCATCCCAAGGGGGTAATTACGGTTTTCTTCTTCTTAAAGTGGTTTTCATGAAAGAGCCAGGCTGAAAGGGGGCCCTTCAGTGGGATGAGGGCCAACCATGCCTGTCCATTTAGGATTTTACGTGTAGAGCTTACACGCAGGCTCCAGCCCCCATCTCCCATCCTGTGGTCTAGCCTGCTTACTCTATGTTCTTTCACGTGCACATTTGCAGGCCTCAAGAGCCCATCCTTTTTATTGTTATTTTGTTCATAAAGGGTGGTGAAAAGAGCACTGCACTGAGGGTCAGGAGCCTAGGGTCTAGGCCCTTAGATTTCAACAAGCTGTGTGACTTTGGGTCAGTTACTTGGCCTCTCTGGGCCTCAATTTCTTCTTCTAGGAAATGGGGATGATCATTCTCTCACCTCTCTTGCCTCATGGGCATGGGTAATTGTGAGGGTCAGCTGAGATCATACTGGGTGGGGACAGAGGGCACTCTGAAATTGGTGAATCTTGTTCAAAGGGGAGAGAAGAAAACTGATGGGAGTTTTCTGGCCACCCTGCATTTGGGGCAGTTTCCACTTCTCTCTGTTAATCACCCTGCCAGAAACTTCTTTGCACAAATCACCCATTTCCAACAGGCACATTTCCAATGGAATGCTGGGGTCCCAGGGCCAGGAAAAGTTTGAGAGCTGCCTCTGTCTGGATTTTTGCTGACAGTTCTCTCCAGAAGGACAGAATCAGGGAATGGCCTGAACTCCAAAGCTTTTGGCTCCACGAGCAAGTTCTGTCATGAAGCAGCCTCCCCTCAAGGCCCCTGCCTCTAGGGGAGCCTGGGAGCTGTCACACGGGGACCCCTCTGACTGGTGAGACAGTTGCCCCTTTCCTATGACAGGCGGACCAGATGCCACATGACAGATCCAATGGGCAGATCGCAGCCCCGGGTCCAGCCGGACTGTATCACGTCAGCAGGGCAACATCCTGCTCCGTGACCCGCCACAGGGGTGTGTGCGGCCTGTCACAGCTGGAAAATCAGACCCCCCCCATTCAGGAAAGTTCTACACAGAAAGGCATTGGCTCCTCCCCCAGAGTATTAACACAAGAGTAACATGCAATGGCCGTGCCAGACTTTTTCCTTGGGGATCAGGGTCCTCTGAAGGGCCAGCAGCTTATTTGGCTTTTGCCATTTAGAGCAGGGGCTGAGCTCTGGGGTTAGAACCAAGCTGGCCTCAGCCACTCTCCAGCTCTGTGACTCTGAGCGAGGTTCTCTGAGCCACAATTGTCTCCACATTGAGATGTTGGCAGGATGGCTGGGATAAGGTGTGCAGTGCTGGCCCGCTGTGAGGCAGGCTAGTGAACTCACAGGGCCCTGCTCAGTGGGACCCAGGAGAAGGGTGGCGGGTGCCTCCCACCAATGCCCCACGCAGATTTCTGTGCACCCCACTTCTCAGCCTCTCAGCACGGCTGCCGTGACTCCCGTACAGCAGTCCTCCCGGAAACCTCTGGGCTCAGGATGATCTGGACACACAAGAGGAGGCAAGAGAAGAAGATTGGCACAATCCAGCCTGGTAAGCGTGTGATGGGTGCCCTGGGAGCAGAGGAGGTAGCCTGCTTAGCTTTGTGGGGCAGCAAATTACCTCACTGAATCCTTGAAACAAAGCCAGGTGGTAGGTGTGATTATATAAGCCTCATTTAGAGGTTCGGCCCCTTGCTCATGGCTGAGCAGTGGCTGCGTCAAGATTCAAACCCAGGTTTACCAGCCTCCAAAGTCCATATTTTCAGCCTCTTGGCTTTCCTATCTCCCTATAGCTTGACACTTACTCCATGCGTGGTTGGCTCAGCATGGAAAAGAGGACCTATCACCTCCTTTGTTCTAAACACCATACTTCTATTAATACAACTTATAATCAAATCATTCCATTGACAGAGATGAGAGTGGGAAGTTGGGCAGGATATATTTTCCCAAATCTCCACTTTGCCATAGTTTCCCCTGTCTGCTAACGGAAGGAAGGGCTACCCTTCAAACTACCGTTTGAAGGAGGTGTTTCATTAGGGAAGATTGGCGAGGAGATAAGACACACAGACTTGCAGCCCCAGGGCAGGAAGCAGCCTCTCTGTTGGAGGCCTGTACAGGAGGGAGGCAGAAGTGTGCTCAGACATCTGGAAAGGAGGAAGATAGAGGAAAGCGGAGAGGAGTCCGTTAACATGGTTAAAGGTGTAGGGAAGAGATAAGGACCGCCGGAGGAATGCACGAGTCGGCTGGAGTTCAAAACAGTGTTAGAGACACTGAAAACGAGATTATCACGGGACACACAGGGGAGCACGAGAAAGTGATCAGACCTTAGAGGGAAAGAAAGGATGTCAGGAACACGGTTTCAAAACAGCTGGGACAAGGGGTGGGGCACTTGGATGATTCAGCTGTACAGTCATCCCCAAAGCTCTCAGCCCACATTTTGTGGATCGAATATGCCAATTAGGCACTGTTCCCTGAAGACTGTGCAGGGAGCCCCCCCTTAATGTACTCACGGTAGCAACATAACAAAACCACCACTAGTAGGCGGGTGCTAAGAACATTATAAGCATTATTTCACATAGCTTCCCAACCACCCTGTGAGGGATTGCTCTCATTATCCCATTTTCCACAGGAGGAAACTGAGGCCCAAGGAGAGGATGCAACCTGCCCAAGGTCACCTGGCCAGAGAGTAGCAGAGCTAGAATTCAAACCCAGGCATGTGCTATTTCCATAATCCATACCTAGACACAAGACGGGAGAGCAAAGGGACCCACAGCAAGGACCATATTTGGGAGGTTTGTAAAGTGAGATTTGAGGTAGCTTGGATCTTAAATGGCAGGTTAAGGAATTTGAACTTGATCTTACCAGTAGTGGGGA